GCATGTCTGGCTACCTAAATGAATCATAAACTTCCAAGAAGGCACAAATGTGTTATTTTGCGTCTTCATGAGGTGCACCACCAAATTGCCCAATAAAATTCAGTATATTGAAAATCACAGGCTTGAGTTTTAAGTGGTTTGCCTGAATTTCTTAAACAACAATTCCATGGTTAAGATCTTCCAACATGGGTGCTAAATGATCTCGAATAGGTCGTGGTTGAACTACCAACACTGCATTACGAATTGTTGTAGCATTTTGATATGCTTGTATACATCCTCTTCGACGGAAAAACCTTTCAATTTTAGGTTTTATAGGTAGTAATTATTCCTTGAGTATTCTTCGGGTCATGAAACAACACAACACTTGAAATGAAATTAAACAAAAAGGTAAACAAAAACAAGTTAGTATGTATCTACAAAAATAATCAAAGAAAATGTACAGAAACTAAACATGAAATAACCAATTGTAAATTCCCATCAGCGGCGCCAATAACTTGTTATGTTGTGTAATGCACTATAAATGATACCCAAATTATGCAAGTATACACGTCGAACAAGTAATAAAGTGATGAGTGACTATCGTCTCCATAGGGATTGGAGGTATTTCGAGTATAGAATATGCACACAAAAATATAAACTAAAGTATGGTGTATGAAGTGTGATATAAACAAAGTAAACAAATGCTATGCCAAAAAGAATATTGAGGACTGGGTTATAAGATAAGACAACAGAATAACTCTCACACGTGTGAAAACTCTCTTGTACGACAAATGGTTAGGTCTACTATGGAATCATATATCTTGTCTTCATGGATGTCTAACAACTACCTTAAATACATATGCTTGACAAAGTATTCGAACGTGTTCTACACTATATCCCTAGCAAGAATCTGACAGTGAAAATGCTACAACAATACCTCTTGGCGTGAACCATAACAGTTCACTATCTATGAACCTCGACTATTCTTAGTTGTTAAAACTCTATTCTTATATCTAAGGTGAGTTAGGGTTTACCTCTCAGCACCCCCATTTTCTATGTGGATATAAGTTTAACTCTCTCGAATATTAAGTTATCAAACAAGATTAAGGCTAACTCTCGAAAGCTCTTACAAATCATACATTCAAAACAATGAATAAAGAAAGTATAAATCTGAAAATGCTTCAACATCCATTAAACAAAATATAATCATCCACAATAAACCCAAACCAAGCTAAGTTAGTTCATGGCTGGGTTAATAACATCCATAAAATCATTCATATAAAACAACCTAAATGAAATGCTGAAAACAGAAACAGACTAAAAAAAGAAAACTCCTGAGCAATCGTGAATTGCCCTAGCTAAGTTGTCTCTTTCAAGGTCCAGCTTGTTGTTTTCCTTGGAGCCTTCAAAAATGGAGAATACCCACGAAGAATGAGAATATAAGAAGAATGTTGAGTAGCCATATTTTCTCTCTCTCTCATCTCATAAATTCCAGCCTCCTTAAAGGTAGGGTATCCTTAGCTTTATATAGTGGTGGCTCCTAGGGTTTGCGCCCTATAATTCCTTGTACAATAGGAAAAAGATTCCCTTCACGTGTAGGGCACAACTATAATGGGATTCACGTGCAAGCATGGAAAATATCTTCAACTTTTGTCTTTTACTGCGTCCAGGAAAAATGCAAAGAAATGTTGCAGCAAAAGTTCGTATGCACCTATTTTCTAAACCTGCACACGTACAACACTAGAACACTAACTTCCACGCATTAATACACCGTTAATTAATAAAATAAATAATATTCAGTCCAATCCACCACATGCATGAAATATGCAACTAAATGAGCTAAAGAACAAGCAATAACCTAAGTAAAAAGGCCTAAAATGTACCTTTTTACGGGGTTATCATACTCTCATTATTTATACAAACGACATAACAGTTTAAGGACATCACGTAAATATATTGTCACAAGGGAAGGTTCAAAGAATGACACTTACATATCCTATTCAACTATTGATCGTAGAGTCTATCATCACATCGAGTCAAAATGTTTTGATAAAACCATCAATTTCATTCATGTGAGGGATTGCTGGAAAAAGTGAGGTGAATTCATTTATGGATTTAATAATTAAATTAAATTCATATATTTTTGGAATATTCTAAATTTAAAAAAATATTTATTATCTCTTTAAATTAAATATTAGTGGGACAATTATATCCTTTTAAATATTTCAAATTAAAAGATATTTATTATCTCTTTAAATGTGAATATTAAAAAATAATTATATCATTTTGAATATTTCAAATTAAAAGATATTTATTATATATTTAAATTTGAATATTAAAAGGATATCTATTTTGAGTAAATCTCCTTTAAGAATCCCCTATAAATATCATGCTAACCTTTTAGGTTAGACACAATTAGATTCAAGAACTTTAAACATATTGAAAAATATTCATCTTTCTATAGTTTTTCGGTGATAGGCGAAGGAAAGGGATAGTTCGTGATCTCTACAGTTATGCAACTGTACGCTAATCATTTAATTGTTTTATCTTGAGAGACAGACGACCGACGATCTCGAGCACCTAGGAGTGATCAAAAATCAATCTTTAAGGAAACTGTGTAGCAACATGTCTCAACTAGTTTTTGGTCGATTGATCTACCAGATAGAGTATTTCTTTCCATACCTATTTTTATTATTATTTAAAAAATTAATTTTTGTTTATTTTCTTGTCTTAGAGGTGATTATTGTCTTGGATCGTTATTATTTTATAATATTAAATACTTTAAATATGATTAATTCATGTTATACAATATGGAAATTGCAATATTGAAAATAGGAAGATTGTTGATAATCATAAAAATAAATATTTTTTATTTTATAAAGGGTCAAATTTTTTGAAGATCTTTGTATAATATGTTATTTAAAAGTTTCTTAAATAAAATAAAATAAAAGGTATAAATTAAAAAAATTGAAATTAATACCAATGGGATTGGTTCAAATAATAAGTAGCTTGATATCATTTAAGTAAGTTTTGAGTTTGAGGCTTGCCTATGCAGGAAATCCCTGCCTGAGAGACTCAACCACCAAAGCTAAGTGTGCGAAGTATATCGATCCAGATTAGTCATGACAAAACCCTGAAATCGAAAGGGAAAAATTGAAATTATATTTTTCAAAATTATAAGTAAGCTAAATTATTTATAAAAAGTTCAAATCTTCTAGAATAATTAAAAATTTTGTAAAACATCATAAACATTAAAAAGACGTGAGTTTCCCCAATATTTTCTACTTTTCTTATATTTTTACAATTTTACGTTTTTAAATTTTTAAAAAGTAATGAAACATAATCATATTTTATAAACTATAATATAATCTTCTATATTACAGAATTTTTAATATTTTTAATTTTTATTTGAATTTTCTACTTTTTTATTTTTAATTTTTTTATTCATTCGACATGACGATGTGGGATTGGACCATCTTAACTTATTTTATTGGAAAATTACAGAGGATCTAAACTAATAAAGGGAATGAAAATACAAGAGATAAACTGATTAGGAAAAAAAATTAAATGATCAAACTTAGATTGAAATAACCCATGAAAAAAAAGTCAACAAAAATAGCTACCATGGAAGAGTTATAGACTAAATAAATGTGTATAACTTTTAATAATCATTAATATTTCTTTTATAAATATGTGAGTAATATAATGAAGTATTTATTAAAAGATTTTCAACCATTTGATAATGGTCGTTTTTTGTATACACTATATTTGAACCCAAAACATTAAGAAATTATAATAAATCTTTTACCTATTAAGGTTGCTAGTTTCATACATGAACATATGAATGATAAAGTTAGTAGAAAATGAAATGCGGTAATGAATAATTCCAGTATATAATGAAGTATTTATTAAAAGATTTTCAACCATTTGATAATGGTCGTTTTTTGTATACACTATATTTGAACCCAAAACATTAAGAAATTATAATAAATCTTTTACCTATTAAGGTTGCTTAGTTCATACATGAACATATGAATGATAAAGTTAGTAGAAAATGAAATGCGGTAATGAATAATTCCCTATAGATAAAATCTAGGAATTTTATCTATGGATGGTAAAGAGGGTACAACTTCTAATCCATGTAAATATAAAAATCTCACATTTAATATAATTTTTAAAATAATATTGACTTAATTATAGAATTAAAATGTGGAAAACATATCGGAACATGACTATGGCAGATAAGAATAAGAGAGTGAATTTTCCCATTTAAAAAATAAATTATTCTTCAAAGAAAAGGAGGGAAAAAAAGCTGGACAAAGATGCACATAAACCATGTAAAACAATCCCAGCAGCAGCTGTAGCGGGCAGAGAGGTACATCGCCAACTTTCAACTTACTATTATTTATAGAAATTAGGTCACTCCTTTATTTTTAAAAAAAATTATCACTAATTTTATGTTTTTTATTTTATTTAGATCACCAATCATTAAAAATTAATAGAATTATTGACGTATATTTTTTAATAATGATGTGATATTATCTTATAATAACATGTCATCATCTTTGTTAATTTTTTAATAATAAATGATAAAAATAAAATCAAAACATAACATTAATAATGATTTAAAAAAATAAAATAGTTAAATGAATAAAACAGAACTACATATATAATAAGGTGACTAAATATGTAGTTTACCCTTTAATTAAATTAAACTATGACGAAACACTAAATCTTTTAAACAAATGTCAAAGATTTAAATTTTTGTATTTATGAATATAATAGATTGAGTTTAAAAGATCGTCATCACCTCTGTAATAATTAATTTTAATTAATTGATTAATTAATCGGTTTTTTTATTAAAAAAAATGGTTGTATGAGGTTTTAAATAACAAAAACGAGGAAGACAAACCAACCCCCACAAAAGAAGAACAAGGGAACGCATCAAAAGATAAAAAAGAGGAGAGCGTACTGAGGCGTCTCTCTTGGACTCATTCTTTCCAGTATTTTCTCTTTTATTTCTGTATCTCTTCCAATAATGGCTGCATCTTCAGCTTATTTTCATCAATTCTTCATTGTTTAATTCTCTTTCTTCTTCAAAGTTTACTGCTTTCTCTTCAGATTTTTGCTATCTTTTTTCTTCCATTAATGGCTGTTCAAGCTCAATACCCTTCCGATTTCCTTCTCGTAAACAGGTTCATTCTTTTTTCTGTTTCTGTAACCTTTTTTTATCTCAATTTTTCCTCTCTTATTCACTATGGGTTATGTATATATTTTCAGAAGTGCAGAACAGGGGACGGCAATAACAACGCCGATCAATTCATTCTCTTTGCAAACGCAAACGCCACAGTTGATAGACCTTTCTCTACTTCACCGAACAAATTTAGTCTCCACCGGCCTCCGATTATCTTCCGTCGATCAACAGCAAAGTCAAAATCATAGTGATCCTCAACAACAACAACAATTAAGTCTTATTTCGAACTTTTCTACCCTTTTTTCTATAGTATCAGATAATTTGGGTTCCCAAATTAAACGCCAGAGAGAAGAGTTAGACCAGTTTCTTCTAGCCCAGGTACCAAGTTGTCTCTTTTACGAATTGCTTTTGGATTTTTTTTTGCTGGGGGGAAATGTAACATTTTTATTTTGGGATGTCCGATTAGGGGGAGGAATTGCGGCGTGCGTTAGCGGAGAAAAGGCAAAGGCATTACCGAGCGCTACTCGGTGCAGCGGAGGAATCGGTAGCGAGAAGGTTGAGAGAGAAAGAAGCGGAAGTGGAGAAAGTAAAGCGTCGGAACACCGAGTTGGAGGCACACGCGGCACAAATTAGCCTGGAGGCGCAGGTTTGGCAGGCGAAAGCGAGGGCTCAGGAGGCGTCAGCGGTTTCGTTAGAAGCGCAACTCCAACAGGCTATAATGAGCAGAGGGGCCGTAGTGGTGCACGATAGTAGGAGAAGGGACGAGGGGTTGAACTGTACGGGTGGGGTCGAAGGGACGGCGGAGGACCCGGACCGTGTGGTTCCGTCGGGATCGGCTTGCAAGGCCTGTAGAATATGTGTGGCGTCGGTGGTGCTACTGCCGTGCCGGCATCTTTGCTTGTGTATAGAGTGTGATAGAGTGGCCCAAGCCTGCCCGCTTTGCCTCACCGTCCGAAAATCTAGCGTTGAGGTTTTTCTTTCTTAAAAGTTTTACTTTTCAAAGATAAAAAAAAATCAAAATAACCTTTAATTATAATAATTATTTGTTACCCTTTTTTCAATTTTTGGAAAATTAAATTCTATATAAATTCTTTTATTTCATAAATATGCTTTGGTCTAAATTAACTATCTTTTTTTAATTAATGACTAGCCTCCGATCTATTGGTTAACTAATCTAAATCGAGTACTGTAAAACAATGACGACCCTCCCAATCCAGTTTGCTATATTCACAAATGCTAGGGTTTAAACCCTTAACCTTAATTAAAAAATCAGTATCTCATCCCAGTAAACCAATTGGCTGTTGGTTCTGAATTAATTACTTTGAATATTGTTACACAAATTAAAATGTTTAATTTTGCATGGTTAATCTTTGTCTAATGTTTGATAAAATATAAATATGGTGTGTTTAGAGCCTTATTAGTTGTCAACTCTAGAAGTTCCATAATCTCCATATTGATTCCTACTTTTTCTTTATGACTTCCTCTCTCTTAGAGAGAAACACCGACCAACAATCACGTGTAATCAGTCGTGATTCTCTATCCAAATCAGAAAGGATAAACCGATAACCATCTATAAAATTCATTTGTTACCTTGAACAAATAATAATAATAAATCAAAGGTTTAATTAAAGAAGTCAAAATAAGATTATACGGTTCAAATTTCAAGCAATAACATATCATCCAAAGTTATATAAGCAATGCATGTGAGGCTGATAGGACATATTTGTCACTATAAGAGGGAGAAACCTTAAGTCCAAATATTAGGAAAATTACTGAGAGGACATATTTATATGCAAATCCAACCTTTTTTATTTTATAAATGAACACGCTATTTTCTAACTTATATGATGGTGTTTTGCTTCTTCAACTTGAAGGCATCGCATATGCGGTATTGGGGTTTGGTCCCATGTCTCATGCCTTCTACTCCTCAAGATGCTAAAGCATTGCTACTGGTCCTTAGAGTGTGTGTATATGTAGGTATTATAATATAGGGCCATTGTCAATTTGATGGTTTCTAACGTTTCATTTTAGGTAAAAGAACTCATATGTGGATAGAAATTACTAGTTGACTAAATACTTTCATCCACAGAGAAGACCTTTTACCCTAAAACGAAACGTTATGAACTAAATTCTCTCAAAATGAAAAAAGAGTAAAAAATAATTATCTTATCAAATGTTAAAGATATTTTTTTATCATTGAGTCAAGAAAATATATACTTCAAAAGAAGAATACAATTATATAAAGGGTAAACTATGTATTTAGTTATCCATCTATTTTTACGGTTCCATTTTGGTCATCTAATTATGTTTTTATTTCAAAGTCATATTTAACGTTACGTTTTGATTCTATTTTGGTCACCTGTATTTAAAAAAATAAACAAAATTTCTTATTTAATTTTTTATTTTTTTCAATAATAACATGATATTACCATATGGTGATACATTAGCATCACCATGAATTTTTTAACGACAGGTGATCAAAACAAAACTAAAACGTAACATTAAGTATGGTTTTGAAAAAAAACATAGTTGAATGGTCAAAACGGAACAACATAAATAGTTGGGTGACTAAATACATAGTTTACCCTTTATATAGTTGTGTGTTTGCTCGCTTGCTCTCTCATCAATTGCTCCACCCCATGCCTTGGAGAAAGAAAAACAAGTATGAGGACAATGTGGATGTACCAACAGATGGTGTTATAAATGTTTTTGTTTGGGACCAAAAGTAAAATATACAAAAAACCAGAGGGGTCTCTGCCAATTGATAAAGACTTGATATGACTCATAGACTACTGTTTGTATTGAGAGGGAAAATTTGCAGGTTCAAGAGAGCAATACATAAATAGTTCCCGCCTTCAACATTTTGTTTTGAATCAATTTGAAAGTGGAAGAGAGAGTGTTGTCCCTTATTTCTCCATCGTTATTATTGTTATCACCAAATCATCCTTCTTGTCATAAAACATGTCATAGATAACAATAACAATGTTAGGTTCGGTCCCATCCATGAATAAAATAAAGGGTAAATAATCTAATTGGTCACTGAAATATTACTTAATTTTTATTTTAGCTACTTAACTATTATTTTAGGTTCTAATCTTTAGTTAAAAAAATTAACGATGATATTAAAGTGATATTTTATTTATTATTTTTCAATGTCGAGTTAATATTATCGTTAAGTTTTTAATGGTAGATAATTAAAAAAGAATTAAACGTAACATTAAGTATTGTTTAAAAAAATAATTGCATGATCAAAACAAAAATTAAGTAATAGGTGAGAGACTAATTAAATAGTTTACACTAAAATAAAAATGTCCTCATATTAATCAGATCGTTTAGGGAGTAAACGTGGGGTAGGCTGTAAAGGAGTTGTTTTGGAGGAATTAAATCCAATGCTATCACAAACCAATTTATATCAATGATTAAAGGAATTGTTATTTTTTTTTTTTTTAAATTATAGATTCAAATACTAACGATTATAAGAGTAATTGAGTTCCATTATCAAATAATTAAAAATATTTAAAACAAAAAATAATTTATAACCACCTTTAACTTAATAAAAAAATCCAATACTACGTAGGCAGAGAGATAATGGCTTGAGACTCTTGTAGTCTTGTGGATGGTGGTTCGTATTTTTGGTACTCTTTTACCGCTTTAACACACGAAAGCTTTTTAGTACAAATTTTGACATTTTTTTCTTTTATTTTTTTCATTTCTTAATATTTTATCGTAATTAATTCAAATTGATTTGCGTCACATATTTTATTTTAGCGGATAAGTTTTTCAGTGAGAACATTTTACGTACATAAAAATTTAAACTTAAAACTTACTTAAATTATATTAAGTTGTTTACTATTTGAACTAACCTTTATTGATTCCTTTGTATTTTCTAATTACACTTTATTAGTCTCATTTTCTTCTAGCCTTTGTGCTTGTCAAGCAATGATATATATAGAATGTACTAATGTTTAGTACCTAAATTATTTATTTTGTTCTATTTTGATATTTAAATTTTATTTTATTTTTAAATTATATCTAATGTTTTGTTTGTGTTTTAATTTGATATCTCATCGTTAAAAAATAACATAACAATTGACGTGATATTTTTTATTTTTTAATGATGATGTGACGTTATCTTATGGTGACACATCAATATCATTGTTAAGTTTTTAACGACAGAAGTACCAAAATGAATCGTAAACTAAATTAAATATGATTTTGAAAAAGAGTTAGAAATACCAAAACAAAATAAAAATAATAGTTTTAGATATTAAAATATAGTTTACCCTACTATATAAAATAAAAAATATATAATGTCAAGTTTAATATTTATGTATTACATATAATAAAAAATATAATATTATATATATTTAAAATATTTAATACGATGAACTCATCAAGTGATCCATTAGTAAAATGAAATATTATTTTTTCTGGAGGACATGAGTTCGTGCAGTTGCATCTTCGTAAGTATGTGTTGTCAATTGGTTAAGAAAATTCTGAACTATACTACATTGTAATCATCTCATACTATGAAAAAAATATTTATATATGATATGTATATTAATAAAAAATTTATATTAGATATTTTAAAAATATAAAAAAAATTTATATATTTTTGTTAAAATATAGACATTAAATATAATATTATCTTTGATAATAACAGTGAAATGGTAATTCCATGTTTTTTCTTTTAATAAACAAAAGTTGTATAATGTCTAAAAAGTGGCAAATACCTATATAACAAGGTTAATTTCTTTGATTAGTTCTTAAGTTACATGTAAGTTATGAATTTAGTCCATATATTCTAATCCTGTCTTATTTAGTTCATGTATTTTACAAAATTTAAAAATTTCAATTCTGATCTAAATAATAATTATGTAACCTATTAAGTCAAATTATGCTATTAATCTTTTTATTATGCTTAACTTGTATATATCATTCTTGTTATTCGATTTGATCATTTTGAGTTATAATCATCAATATTTGGATCATTAGTCGATTAATTCAGATTGAATACAACATAAACTCATTATGAGAGTGATCCTTCGAAACGAATTTGAACTAAATGGGATAATAAAATCATTTTCAAATAACTTTTTTCTAAAAAGTATAAAAACCTATCTTGAATCACAGGATAATTCATTATCCATGAAGAAGCATAAGATTATAATCATGTCTAGAACAGAACTATGGAGATAGATGTCGGGTAATAAAGAGATTCACGGGCAAAATGACGTAGCAACACTATTTATTCATTCCATTCATTACAAGTCCAACTTTAGGGTATAATGGGTGACAAATGCTTCACTCAAATCAAATCTACCGTTTTGGGCAATGGCGAAACTATGTATAGTCCCAAGGGGCCACTGCCCCAAATTTTTTATTAAAAAATATAAAAGTAAATATCTATTTAGATCTTTAAGTTTTAATTTATTTTGATTTTACTCCTCCTATTCTTTATTGTAATTATATTTTACCCCTTGAATTAGAATCATGTCTCTACCTTTACTTTTGGGTGAATCTGAAGGAATTTTGAATGGTAAAATATCGAAGTTCAAAACTTATACGAGTATTAATGCATTTCACCCATTAATGATTCCCATTATCACGATTCCCCTACCTTTTGCCCTTCGCTTTTGATTTATCAATGACCTAATTAAGCTATTTGATTGAAGCTCAAAACTTGAAATTGTACTTTGGATCAAGTTTAATTAAAAATTTTAAATTGAATCCATTAGACGACATCAATAATTAAAAAGAATGTTATTATTCCTAGGGATTTTGAGTTCGAATAGCTACATCATTAGAATGTGTGTTATCAATAATTAAAAAATATTTTAAATATATATTATCTTGTAATCACCCTATATTATTAAGAAAAAAAATTAAACCAACCAGAGAGTTTCATTTTCTTTCTCTTACATAAAATATATATTTTTTCAAATTATTTCTTTAACACCCTAGACCCCTTTCGAGCCTAAAGTGACATATTGTGGTCTAGGCAGACCGAGA